AAATAAAAAACAAATCATTATAAGAGTCATTTAAACTAACAGCCAACCACTGGGCGATCACTAGTGACAATAAACTTAAAATTGAGTAGTTTTGATGCGACACGGCTCGTCCCGCGGCTGCGTCCGTCTGCAATCGATCACCGTCAGCGGGCACCGCCGCAGATGCAGCCTCACGACGCGTAATTATCATATTCAATGAGATATCAACGCAATGCACTCTCAAATTGGTGATATGTATACCTAACTTATTGCTTACTTCCACGTTCCAGTGATTCAGTACGTCTAAGATGTTTCTAGTCGATTGAAGTACCTATATTATCTATACATATATATAAAATTGGTGTGTGACTGTCTGTAATATTGTAATAACCGTTTGTTACTACATGCGTATGAATATAAATACGGTACATACAACAAAATATTTTTTTTTTAATTTTATCTGGATGTCTGTTTGTTCCGACTAATCTCTGAAATGGCTGTACCGATTTTGAAGGGACATTTATTGGCAAGTAGCTGATGTAATAAAAAGTAACTTAGCTACTTTTATGTTAGACATTAATTAGCTAATTTAAAAACAAATTGGTACAGACGACATGCAGCGTCCAACCAACATTACATTATCCGCTGCTAACTCTATAGCTGGAATATTTCTAGTGCTTGTAATTTGACAAATAACAGAAGGCGTGGTTTTACGTTAAAGATGTTGAAACGTAACCGCGTATTTGATCGTAGACTCCGGAGTGTGAAGTCAGGAGTCAGGACACGTTTGTGGCTGACATGTGTCTCTGCTCGCCGCTCATTGCGCTTCGCACACGATTACCCTCCCTCGACGGCGACGGTGGCGACAGTGGACGATCTCGGCATCCCGGCCGTAGTGTTTGAATTACAATAATTCGTAACCAGCACGTTTCGTGCCTCCCGCCGCTCGAGCAGCTACGATAACAATAAACGGTTTGCCGAACCCATTCGTCGATTTACATTCTGAGCGAGCGCGCGAGGGTCACCCTCGCTCTTTCTTCTTTCAAATTGGATTTAAACATTGCGAATTACCTCTCTTTGATTCGCGGGCTAGCCAAATGGGGACGATTTATGGAGTAGCAGAGTAGGTTTAGGCGCGCTCCCAGGGGACGCGCGGGTAGATTATTCGCGAGAGCGGCGGCCGGCCGCCGGAGCGGGCCGTATTTCACGCTGCCGGCGATTTAGTGCGCGGGGGCCGTGAGCGATGGTGCTCCGGTCCGGTCCTCCAGCCCGGCCGCCGGAACACCTGACCCCACTTTAAATAGTGACCGTTCCGTATGCGTCGTTTATTTCCCTGTCGGTTTAATGCGATGCCACATTTTATGGTGACCGAAAGTGCAACCCGCCTGGCGTCGCGCCACCTTCGTTGCCATTTACTCTAATCTATTATTTATGTGTTCTCTTTAGAGCAGTTTTAACTAGCTGAACCGAAAAGTTAAAAAGGTTAACAATTCGTAGATATTTTGAGTCTGTATTTATTCTATTCGAGTATATAGTTAACTACGTCAGGATTGATGAGATTATAACGATTCTTTTTGCAGATAGATTATAATATAATAATAATAATCTTAGGACAATTCACACAGCGCCATCTAGATCCAAGTTAAGCTATCTAAAGCTTGTGTTATGGGTACTAGACAACTGATACAAATACATAGATATTTTTTTTCGTAAATACATACATATTATACATAGAAAACACTCAGACCGATACAAACAATCATACTCATGAATACAAATGTTTGTGCCGTGCGAGGAATAGAACACGCAACCATCGGACGTAAAGCGGTGTGCTAGACCGCTAGACTACCGTCGTCAAAGATATCCCACTTTTCTATAGCGTAATATATCCATTATCTAACAATTGTAGTAAGTTAGACTTACAACAACTATCATTGATATTTCAATTTCTCAGTTATTAATCCAATCTTAGATTCAGAGTACAATTGTAAAGTTTAAGTAATCAGACCATAATCTTCTTGATTAGATCTAGAAGACTATGTAATTTCGACGTTACAGGCATATATGACATTTATGTATATTCGTAAATGTAAGTATTTATGTTACTCCTAAATTAGGTGAATATACTTACATCAGATATAGATCCTATGCATATAAATATGCTATGTTAATATGAATAAGTGGTTATGTATGGATATTTGTTCATCTATTCGATTCGTTGGAAGTTCTCTAATGGAGCACAAATCATATATAGATGTACCTTTCGCGTAGGTTTCGTTGTGTTCGGGGCACGAGAATATTATAGAATAGAATAGTATAGAATAATATTTATTACAGTCACACTGACACAACACAACAATCACGATGCTCACAGCAGCATATAAATTATTATAACATATCAATAGAAATAATAAATACAATACAAATCATTAAAAAAAGCAGACAAGAAAATCAAAAAGAAAATAAAAAAATATAAACATATATACTAAAAACAAAAATAACATAGCAAAAAAAATAATTTAATACGCTATTTTATAAAATTTCTAAAGGTTACAATCGATGTTTCATTAAAATCGTAATATATATATATTAATTTAATCAATCGTAATATGATTTGTTCAGTACGTCATTAGCGTGTAGTGAATGTTGAAAAAAACAAATAAAAGATGTGGTTGACGTTAAATATATTGATGAGTAGAATTATAGTGTTTGCGAACATGATAGTCTTAAAGAATGACCACACGAGGTGTGTCTGAGCAGTCGTTATATTATAGTAGGTACATTTTTGTGTGTTTACTATCTATTATATTATATTAAAGAAACTAGATGTTCCCGCGACTTCGTCCGCGTGGAATTTTAAAAAAAAAGGAATTAAAAAAAAAAGTAGCCTAAGTTACTCCTTATTACATTAGCTACCTATCAATAAAAGTTCCGTTAAAATTGGTCTAGCCATGTCAGAGATTAGCCGAAACAAACAGACTGACAGACAGAAAGACAAAAATTGTAAAAAGTGGCTTTTTGGTATATATATGTACTTACATTCATATGCATGTAGTAAAAACGGTTATTTCAATATTACAAACAGACATTCCAATTATATTTATCTGTATAGATTATTTTAAAACATCTATTCAAGTGATATTTCCACCAACTCTACACTGATTTTGATTGTTCTTTTCCAATGAACAGACCTGTACCCTACAGTACTATACAAATTTCGTAACGATTGAAGTCATCATTTTTGTAGAGCAAATTCCTAAATTATTACAGGTCAATTTCATACGACCATCATAATCAGAGGTCGGAGTACGAAGCGGACGTGTTCTCGAAACCTCACTCTACATGTGGGACAAAACACTAGTTAGTGGAGAAAATTACAGGTGCCGCTTAACCACAGCTTCCGAAGGTCATTCCGCCCGCGCGGTCGACGATCGACGGGACAAAACCGTTCGCAATGGTCAGACATCGGTTTTGCAACGGTCCGAGTGAACTTTCAATGGTACAATACATTCAGGGGCAGCTGTGAGATATGCGAGCGTCGTAGGCTAGTAGTGCTTTGTTACGGTCGGTGGGGCCGGCCGGTTGACCCAACTTGTCAGCACCCGACGCGGGGCTGTAGCCGCGCTGGCTACTTTTAATGCGTCTCTATAAAGAGCCCACGTGCCCTATTGTTGCGAAGTTAAGGCGGACATATATTACCCGATTCTTTTCTCTTCCAAAGAATCAGATTAAAACCCAAAATAGCTGGAATGTAATACGAATATCCGTCAGAATACTGGGAGGGTGTTAATAAGTATATTTCGTACTAAATTTATTATATTTTATCGAGTTCCATTTCATTACATTGTGGATTTGTATTTTGTTTAATTCTACTATCATCACTATGTGTGAGATCAGAAATACTCAGTGCAAATATTACACTACAAATATTGCAATGGCGGTTTTCAGGTTTTTGCACTGAAACTTTTTGGTGTTTTACACATGCCAATGGTATTTATACATGGAATTAAACAAAATAATACAAATACATAAATTTTGTATATTAAGCACAGCACCCTTATTTTATGTTAATCACTATATTTCGTGTCAGTGTTAATTTATTCCGTCCATTATAGGAATACATACATTGTGAAAAATTGCAATGTAAAATTTCCTTCTTTCTTATTAAAAAAATAAAAAGCAATTATAATTAAAAAATTGATAAGAACGCCCGGTTCTATTACATTAATTTGAATGATCTGTAGTGGGTGACGATTATATCGATTATTACGTACTACCCCTGTTTTTTTATGGACAATAATGGAATACTGCACCCGCCTGCGCTAACGTACGTACGGGGCACCAGTACAGGATGACAAGATGAAATTGAAGTCAGGTCAGCTCATGATGGTAAATTCACCATGAATTTATCACGTTGGTTTCAATGCACCACGTGGTGGTCAACTCGACATGGTACATTGCCCGTTCCCCTACTACACCTGTTATTTGTAATTTAGTTCGACTATTTCGCCCTCGAACCGAAATATTTGTTTACAAACCAAACTTTTTGCAATAGTCAATTTTAAACTTTCGTGTTTAATATACATTATTTAAATTATTAACCGGGTCTTAACACGAATAATTTTGTGGCAAATAAAGGTACTTACCTCTCTCGACGTTTAGACTAGGTTGCACTAGCCGTGGTCACGAGCTGACTGGAGTAACAGCAATGTCAATGTAGATAGGTGACAGCCATAAAATTATTCGTGTTAAGACCCGGTTAATAATTTAAATAATGTACAAACTTTTTGCAGATTAAAATAAGTGAGGGCAAATTTCTACAATATCTAGCTCTGATTCTACTCCAAGTTGTGATATATACTCCAGTATCTATTGTACAGAGGTACTTATCGAGGGTATTGTTGTGCAAGCCGATGCGATGCTCCGATACCACTAAACGTGATTTTAACGATACGCCGAAACATTCCGCCGTCTTGTAATTAACTCTTATCTCTAATTACATTATAATATTGTTGTTGCAGTGTCCGGGCGCGGTGACGTCAGCAGCTTCTTCAACACACAGATGGTGCTCGACCTTAACGGTGAGTACACACGGCCCATAATGCACTGCGCGGCACCTTCATTTGAATATTACGGAAGACGCGAATGGAATAACCGAATTACATAATTATGTTTTTGTGTCCGCACCGTCATGCCGCCGTCTCCCCGTATCGTGCTCTTGAAATACTAAATCTATACGTCGACAGAGGTATATGGACCTTATGCCATCGTGGAGTGTGAGCCTTAAAATGTATCATATTTACAAATATGCGAGATCACCGACAAGTTTACCATCATCATCATCATCAACATTACATAGCACAAAATAAAGTCGCTGTCGCTCTCTGTCCCTATGTATACTTAAATCTTTAAAACTACGCAACGGATTTTTGCATGTACTTTGATTATACAAAAGTTCCTAAATTTAAAAAGAAATTAAAAAATATAGTTATAAAAATTTAGTAGATCCAGAGATTGCTCCCGATGACCTAACAAACTCTATCTCTCTGCATTTAACAAAGAAATCTACATAGATGGTAAAACGGTTGCTTTATCATTACAAAAACTCAGCGTACGATTATGTATGCATTTATTTGCGGTATAATATAACGTGAAGACCTGGAGATCTTTGGAAGCAAGGACGGACGATCTGGTCATGATCGTCGTGGACATCTTTAGGGGAGACCTTTGTTCAGCAGTGGACGTCTGTCCGGATGATGATGGTGATGATACTTTGACGTGTGTGAAATTACATCTAATTGTACATTTTTTGAAGAATATATTTAGCGAATCATTTTACAATTGTTTGGTAAAAGAAAACTGTCAATTAAGGTCAAAATCTCCTGATGTTTAGCAACGATGTTATGTTGGTAGGTGTTGTTATGAGAATCGTAACGGTGTCCACACTGAATGGATCACGATTCATTTCCAATGAATCAAATCGATATCACGTCGTTCCAGTACACCGTCACACTTCAAAACAAAACGACCGAATAATTAAATTAATACAAATTCTGAGTTTTTGTACGGCCGCGCGGCGACACCGAGACATTTCCAATTTTCGTCTAGGTCCGTTTTTTATTCGCATTAATTATGGCATGAATGGACCGGCCGGGAAAAAGCGGCGGCGGCGCGGGAGATGCCGCGCGGCGGACCGATGTTTTTGTGACGCGCGTGTTTCACGGAACTCAGCGTCGCCGTCTCCCAGCACTCCGCGGACTCTATTAGTGTTGCCAGCAACAGACAGTCAAAAATAATACATTTATATAGAAAGTAACATGACCTGCGAATGACTAAAAAATTGTTCCTGCTTTTTCATTTATATGAAACTTTCTGCAAGTTATTTGCAATTGTGTAATTTTAACATTACAAAATTTGCAGGCCATTTTTTATGTAGATAAATAGTAACTAGTTTGATATTTTGGTTTCATAACTAGTTCACATAAAAGTGTAAATTTAGTGTCTTTATTACGCCATATAGGTCTTGTACCTACTTACTTACGTATATTTCTCAAAAATTTAAATAACATATTATAGACTAATCTATACATCTATACATACAAATAAAATTGGAGTGTCTGTTTGTAATATTGAAATAAACGTTTTTTACTACCTGCATATGAATATATAATGAATATATAATATAAATACAGTACATACACCAAAATAACATTTTTTACTATTTTTGTCTGTCTAACTGTTTTCCGGCTAACCTCTGAAATGGCTGGACCGATTTCGACGGCACTTTTTTTGACAGATAGCTGATGTAATAAGGAGCAACTTTGGCTACTTTTATTCTAGAACAATAAAGTTAAGTTCCACGTGGACTAAGTCACGGGTACAGCTGGTGTGGCCACTAAAGTGGCAACATTCGAGCCCAATAAACCGTGTGACAATCCGATGGACGACGGAACTATTGACTACGGTTTATTCAAATCATTGCCGACCAAAAAACTGGCACTCCCAGTCGTTCTCCGGTCACACTCGCCTGCCCGCCAGCTCGGCGCACTCGCAGCTTTTTGTGGTCCATATTTACCAGAAAGCTTTTAATCTTAGCAATTTCTCCGGTTTATTATTTGACGTAACTCGATTATGGCACGACATCGTTTTGAAGTGCTCTTATTATATTAAAATTAGTTCAATGAACAGAATACTGTTAATGTCTCGAGTTATTGAACATGATATATCCCGTATCAATATCATTACATTGTATAAAACAAAGTCGCTGTCGCTGTCTGTCCGTATGTATGCTTAAATCTTTAAAACTACGCAACAGATTTTGAAGCAGTTTTAATAGATAGAGTGATTCAAGAGGAAGGTTCTATATAATACATGTACACCCGTGCGAAGCCAGGACTAGCTGGTAGATCTATAAGAGTTTGTTTATTGGACACACTAATCAGAAAAGAACAATATTTGAAAGAAGAATTTTACATTCGATGGCCTGACTATTTTTAGGTTAGGCTATTTAAATATCACATTATAAGAAGAATGAAGAACTTGAGCTAAAACAAAAGTTACGTTGATGTGTAGTATAGTAGTATCGAGTGCTGGTCTGCTCTTATCACTACGACTGATTTAATCTTATTGTGTATTTATATTTGACCCTAATAAATTAGTGCTGGTTGGTAGTTTGTATTCACACGTGTCGACTTGTAAAATGTGAACTTACAAGGATTATTTTAAAAAGCAACACACAAGTTTCTTGTGATGAGACAGCTTTCCGAACGAGTGGTAGATTAAAAAAAAATGTTATGATTATTCAAAAGTGCTTAAATTAAGATTATTTGATTAAATTATTTTCTATTCGAACATATTCCTGGCCGAGATTAGATATTAAATAATACATAATATAATTTTTATTACTAATTAAATTATAATTTTCATAATTATATTCGCAACTTATGAATAATAATCAGAAATATTCGAATTGCTGATGTAATTATACATTATTTAAGTAAGCAATAAAATTAGATGCCGATCACGAAATGGAAATTATTGTGAACTAGTTAATATTAATTATTGGTTATCATTGTTACCTCACTCACATATCAACTCACGCCATTTTCCCATTTGATTGTTGGAGAAACATATGTGTATATAGAGCATAGAACATATATGTAGAAATATAGACATATATGTCTATATTTCTACCCTCATATACATCTTCGCATCATCATTAAATAGTATAAAACAAAGTCGCTGTCGCTGTCTGTCCGTATGTATGCTTAAATCTTTAAAACTACGCAACGGATTTTGAAGCAGTTTTTTTAAGAGATAGAGTGGTTCTATACGAAGATTTATTTTATTTATTTTCATCAAACTGTTCTCAAATGCCAATTAATAATCTACGCCAATATTTTAATATTAATTATGTATATAATACATGTACTCCCGCGCGAACTCTGGGCGAGTAGCTAGTATAATGGTATACTATTACATAAATAAAATATTGTGATTGATTTTAACTTATCGATGTGAATAAGTCCGCGACAGTGGTTCCGCACGCGCAGATGTTATCTAAGAATATTAGCGGGATGCTGCGCGCCGGCTGCCTGTCAGCGAGGACGTGATCGCAGGCCCCGGGGCCCGGCGATGGTCGACAGCCTGTCGATTACATAATAATTTGTACACCATTACACCGCTCTGTTCTCTATTACTTGCACCTTACGATTGACGACCTCGGTGGTCTAGCGGTCAAGCACACCGCTTTACGACCGATGGTCGCGGGTTCGATTCCTCGCACGGCACAAACATTTGTATTCATGAGTATAATTGTTTGTATCGGTCTGGGTGTTTTCTATGTATAATATGTATGTATTTACAAAAAAAAATCTATGTATAGGTATCAGTTATCTAGTACCCATAACACAAGCTCTAGCTAGCTTAACTTGGGTCTAGATGGCGCTGTGTGAATTGTCCTGAGATTATTATTATTATTATTATATATACAAAAGAAATGTGGTACAATACAAACGGATAAACTTGATCCTTTCAGTTTACAAATTAACAGAGTCCTAATTATAGTCTACTTTATATAAGTATTTCCTACAGCGTTGCATCTTCAAGTCACAGGTTATAAGACTTAATCCTAAGTCATCATCATCATCATCACCTGCTACTTCCTTATCCCATTTATTTGTATTCGCCGAAATATGTTTTTCTCTTCCATTCATCCCTGTTCGCAGTCATCTCGTTATTTACTTCCTCTCTTACCATATCATCTTTCACACAGTCCATCCATCTCTTTTTCGGCCTTCCTCTGCCCTTATAACCATCCACATTCATATGTAACACCTTCCTTCAAATATGATCTTCATTCCTACGCATTACATGTCTATACCACAATAGACGATTACTCTTCAACCTCTCCGACACCGGCGCCACTTTCATACTTCCTGATCTCAAGTATGACCAGAAAAGATCTGTTCAGAGTGACTACATGACTGGCCGTCATAAACCAACCCCCGCTATCTTATGATTTATGATCTCCTTTTGAGTTTGTCATGCTCCAAATGTTATTATAATATCGAGTCCTTAACGTTTTTCATAAAGGAGGCAGTCGCAAAATTCGATCGAGAAAATATGTTTTGCAATCTATGTATAATTGGCGACATCATTACATAGTATAAAATAAAATAGCTGTCGCTGTCTGTCCCTATATATGCTTAAATCTTTAAAACTATGTTACGGACTTTGAAGCGGCTCATTTTTTTAATAGATTGGGTGATTCTAGTGGAAGGTTTATTTTATATTTTAAATTTAAATATTTTCGTTTCACAATGTTATTTTTACTACACGGATAAAAAATAAACGACTTGATCGATTTTTATGAAATTTTTCATCCATATTCAGTAGGTCTGAGAATCGGCTATCTATTTTTCATACCCTAAGTGATAAGGGTTGTCCACCCCTAACGTTGTTTTTCTATTTTTTAGGCAACATTTTTTATTATATGTCATAAAAAAATACATACAACCCTAAATTTTCACCCTTCTATCACCATCCCTCATTTTTTAAAGTGTTTTTAATTTATATGACA